GGCTGGGGAGAGGGAGGTCTGGGCCTCCCTTCTGAAGCTGCTGCTCCCGCGACCCGACCCCGGATAGGCGGAAGAAAATGGATGGATGGATGGATTACAAGGTTTCTGCGAGMTTAAATCAGTTTTATTTAAGAATTTAAGTCCAATTAATCAGCCTTACTTGTTCATAAATAACTAATTATCAAGTAGGAAGATAAAGAAGCAACAGTCAGCTCATTGTTACTATTACTGGCACTATTTAGCTTTCTTAAATAGGTAATGTTGGCTTTATGAAGCTGGGAAGTAAAGTAACAAGAAAACACCAGCCGATGATGGATCTGAACAATTTCAGGGTCAAGAGACGGGCTTGAAAGATAGCAGAGGACACAGGTCACCCAGAACAACACCTTTTTAAAAAATGCCCTCTGGTCGAAGGTTCTATGCTGTCAGAACAAAAAAACAGAAGAATGTTTTAGAGGTTTCCCTGCTTCRCTSATTCAGATGACTGCAGTTAAACAAAAGCCTATTAATCAGTTATCAATTGAAAATCAGCTGTGTTGAAACAGGAAAACATCTAAACATGCAGGACAGTGGCCTGACCTATAGGGACTCTGATTTTGCAATATTAGTCCATTCAAACAACTTGATTGTTTGTCTTCTTTTGATTGACACCTCTTTTGACCTACTGGGTTCATCTATAGGCCTGTATTCAGTACGCATGATTGATTGAATAGAATTGGCCAATCAGCTCTGAGCTTCATTCTGACACCAGAYCTGTGTATTTATTTTATTTACTTTATTTATTACAGGGACTGTGCATATTAATAACATTTCTGTAAATATGTCACAATTAGCCAGAAGGCTATTTTTCACCTGCAGTCCCTAGACAGATGTTAAAAGTCACCATAAAATATTAAACGTAAAACTGCATAATTACAAAATAACATTTACAATACACTTCAACATACTTAAAATACAATTGTAGCCAATGAAGTTATCTTTTATTCAATATGCAGCTTTGGAAATGTAAAAATAAAATGGTTTTAGTGCAATTTAACTTCAGTAAGAAAATACTTGCTACAAAAATTATGATGGTCAAAGTTAAAAATTCAGATTGACAGCTTTACATGGCTTGTGAATTTATTCCAAAGGGTCCAAGAGCAGTACATGTTTAACTCAATTTTCCTTTTCTGTATTTCAAACTGTTGTTAAAGGTAGCGCAACTGTGTTTAGTGCATCATCGGTTTCACCTGTTCCCCCATGTTTGTCTTGTATGTCTTCTTGAAAGGGTGTTTCTTAACTGCCCCTCCCCCACTTCCCTGAATGTACAGCACCTTGTGAATTTATTTCTGTGAAAAGCGCTGTATAAATAAAACTTTATGTACTTACTTAATTTAATTTGGGTTAGGGTTAGGCCCGGAAGTTAAGAGGTGAACATGGACGTATTGTGTCAGGATAAATGTTAAAATGAACATAAATTAGCTGAGTTCTTATTAAAGTTGTTCATACTTATTAGCTAATCTGTTTGATATCTTTGTTTGGAGTATTAATTCAAATATAACTCGACCCCAAACTAAGCTGAGTATAATAATAATAATAATAATAATAATAATAATAATAAAAAAGGAAACTTTCCTTTTTATCAGGCAACCATCTGTCATATTTTCTAAGGAATGCCACATTGTGTGCTTGTTGCCAAGCAAAACCCATCTACCCTTTAGTTACACTTAACACATCTGACCGTTTGCAGGGTCATTGTACCACAAAATGTATTTTTACAGCTCAAATGTTCCTCAGACACATTTGTTATAAAAAGTCAGGATATCTGGGAAATTAGAGCTACAAGTTGTTAACGCTTTGCCAGCAGTAATTCTTAGATCCAGCGTCCTGGTTTAAAAAAAAACATCTAATCAGCTCCAACTTTAATTTCCTATTCAACTACAGTATTTCCCCAAAGGAAGCATTTCAAGTTCAAACCAAACTGATGCACAATTTTCTGAATGCCTTTTGTTCAAGTTCGGTTAAAAAAAGTTGTCAAGTTCAAGATTTCGAGTAAGTACTTTTCTTGATCAAGAACAATGCAAGAAACTGAATTCTTGGCTAAAAGTCGGAGTACGGTTTGGTGAAAGAAAGCGTCCTTTGTTCAACAAAATGAATCACAGAAAAACGATTCTCAAAGGCTGCTGTGAAACGTTTTCAAATGAAAGAGAGAAAAAATACAGTCTGGAGGAAAACCTTGAAGTCTGATGGCTCAGATGGAAGCAGTTTTCCTTTTAAGTGTTTTTTTTTTACTTAGTAAAATGAACAAARGGGGCTCAATTTTATATTCTATTTTTTCTTTTTGAGTAAAATTGTCAGATGTTCCCGTGTTCTAAAACCAACGTAAGCCCAGTTTTTCAAATTTATCCAGAAAAATTACCTGAACAGCTTTCTGAGACTGGATGTCAACGATGAGCACTCGGTCCAAGGTCGGCTGTGTCACATAAATAAATTTGTCCTTGATGTTGACAGCTGATGACCACACACACCTCTGAACCGTCTCTCCAGGTGAGGTGGGGCACACCACCTCCTGCAAAAAAACACAAAAAGCACATGCAGTCAGTTACCTAATTGTTTTTCATATTACAGCGAAATATGTCATTAAAAACTAATTACGTTGTTTTTTCTGTCTTGTTTACTGCCTCTATCTTTTCCCTTACGCTGACGTGAGCCGTGTTATCTTGGCAACTTGGATAAATTAGCTTTACAGGTTTCTGCAAAATCTCTAATCAGGCTCATTTGTCCACATATAATTCAGAGAACAAAGCCCCGGCAGATGATCTGCAGCTGCTCGGCTTTTATTCCTGGCAGCCCCGGCCCTTCCTGGCCAACAAAAACCTTCCCAGCCTTCTGTCTCAGGAGCTTTTTCCCTTCGCCCTCTTTTACGGTCATCTAAAACTTCGGGCTGTTTCCAGTCATCCGATCCAAACTCAGTGGGACGAATTATGCCACTGTCAGCTAACAAAAAGATGAATGTCGGGCTCCACCACGGTGAGATGAACTCTCTCCTATATTTACAACCAAAGAGTCGGCCCGTGACAGCTGCCACAGAGCAAGTTCAAGTTTTCAAAATATACGAGCTTCACCGAGTTTAAACTTACTGCAGATTTTCAATCAAGGGCACATTAAGGTGAAGTAAACATAATGCTAAAAACAGAACAAAAATCCTAAACTAATTAGATTTATTGGGCCCCAGAGCATCCAAACGTGACATTTTTTAGTGGATTGGAGGCGTCAGTTTTAAAGCCCAGAAATTCCTGCACTTTCCAAGGTAAACATTGAGTCATCGTATTGAACTCTGTGTCACCCCTGCAGACCCACGCTGTGGTCATTTGATGCTATGGGCTGTAAATATCTCACTTATTGCACCTTTAAGAGACAAAAAATCGAACAGTTGACACCCAGCAGAGGGTGTGAATGGAGGCGGCTCCATTTCTGCCTGGACTTGTCAGTCTGTGTGGGGGTGCATTTAATGTTTATGATGTGAGTAATCATTTACAGCTGTTAAAGAATACATATGTATTATATACGTATATCTATGTATCTATTAAATTATATTTTGAGATTTTATTTAAAGGATTTTCACTCTGTTAATAAGTGGAAGATGGCACTCAAAGCAAATCGGGGTCTCTGCAGTACATGTTGTCCAATGGGCGGAGTTTGCCCTAATATTGATTGGCACAGTTGGTGTGTGGGCGGAGTCGTCTCTAATATTGATTGGCAGAGTTGGTGTGTGGGCGTAGTTGACCCCTAATCATGATTGGCAGAGTTGATGTGTGGGCGGAGTTGGTCCTAATCTTGATTGGTGAAGCTGATGTGTGGGCGGAGTTGTCTCTAATATTGATTGGCAGAGTTGGTGTGTGTGGGCGGAGTTGTCCCTAATATTGAATGGCACAGTTGGTGTGTGGGCGGAGTTGGTCCTAATCTTAATTGGTGAAGTTGATGTGTGGGCGGAGTTGGCCCTAATATTGATTGGCGGAGTTGGTGTGTGGGCGGAGTTGTCCCTAATATTGATTGGCACAGTTGGTGTGTGGGTGGAGTTGTCCCTGATATTGATTGGCAGAGTTGGTGTGTGGGCGGAGTTGTCTCTAATATTGATTGGCGGAGTTGGTGTGTGGGCAGAGTTGTCCCTAATATTGATTGGCACAGTTGGTGTGTGGGTGGAGTTGTCCCTGATATTGATTGGCAGAGTTGGTGTGTGGGCGGAGTTGTCTCTAATATTGATTGGCAGAGTTGGTGTGTGGGCGGAGTTGTCTCTGATGTTGATTGGCAGAGTTGGTGTGTGGGCGGAGTTGTCTCTAATATAGATTGGCAGAGTTGGTGTGTGGGCGGAGTTGTCTCTAATATTGATTGGCAGAGTTGGTGTGTGGGCGGAGTTGGCCCTAATATTGATTGGTGGAGTTGGTGTGTGGGCGGAGTTTGCCCTAATATTGATTGGCAGAGTTCGTGCGTGGGCGGAGTTGTCTCTAATATTGATTGGCAGAGTTCGTGCGTGGGCGGAGTTGTCTCTAATATTGATTGGCAGAGTTGGTGTGTGGGCGGAGTTGGCCCTAATATTGATTGGCAGAGTTGGTGTGTGGGTGGAGTTGGCCCTAATATTGATTGGCAGAGTTAATGTGTGGGCGGAGTTGTCTTTAAAATTGATTGGCAGAGCTGGTGTGTGGACGGAGTTGACCCTAATATTGATTGGTCGGAATGACTTGTCTTGTGGGGTAACTTAAGTGGAAGTAATGGTAATAGTAAAATATGATTTTTTGACTGTCTACATACAGTTTAAAACAGAATAATGACTCAAACAAAAATTGTGAACATGTAGCATGCGGCAATTTTCTTCCTGTCTCGAGTTATAACTAATAATCTCTATTTAAAAAAATATATAGGTACTTCCTGCCTGATTAGACCAAGCTACTCCCTGCTGCCCCCAGCTTCTTCAAACCCCACTGTCAATCTGACCGATCACGTCTTGGGCCAACTACACCCACAAAACAAGAAACTCCTACTTAGTGACTACAGAGACCCCCTTCTCATTCAAAGTGACACAAAAAATATGAGGGTTATTCTTAATTAAAGCCACAGGATAGCTTGTGACAAATATGCTGGAAATGGAAACTTCCTAAATACCAGCATTCGATGCAATAAAGAATCATACAGTATCTCCTTTTTCCAGCGTCTAAATCCAAATTGCTGTCCAGATCCTGGTGTCAGCAGCCAGTCATTCCAAACGACAGCTAAACCAGTGGGATTTAAAGCTTTGTACTACCTTATTTTGACATGAGGATTTACTAAACATAGAGGCTTGTAATTGGATTGCCTTCTTGCATTTTTCAAAAAAAAAAAAAGAAATATGTGGGAGAATTTCAACAGATTTTAGCCATGTGTCCAACTGTTAATTCCTGCTGAACCAGCATGTTGCTCATCACAGTTTATAGTAAACAACATCCCACTGAAACACCAAAGACTCAGAAAAATGCTTCTGGTGACAGAAATGCAAATGAGGGCTGATGAAGTCTTTTGAGGTTTGTACAATGCTGGTGATTGCCTCCTAAATTATATTTTTTGAAAACACTGATTGTTTTGTTAATTATTTTTGGGACCATACAACAAAAATAAATATCTCTTATAATGATTGTGCATTGAAAATTCAGACTGCGTGAAACCTGACAAGGCACCTCTGCTACAGTTCTTTTTAAAGCTGCTGAAACTAGACCCCGCTTCTTTTTTTTATTGCTGTACAGTAAAAGCACCCAAGGCCAAAGTTCAGTATTTCAGTGAGAAGTGCAGCCAGAAAGCTGAAAAGGGAATTTGTTATTTTTTAAAGTGAATTCCTGTACGCAGAAACAAACCTGCCACTGGCGGTTGGTCATTAGATGAATTAGCTGTTATTTTAAAAGATTTATTAAACTGTTGCGTCTACATTTATTCCAGAATCTTCATAAATTCATAAATCTATGTGGGTGGGTAATTTTCACATCATCACTTTTGGTACAAACCCTAATCTTTCAAATTTGCAGAGCAAGTCTTGATGCAAATGTCTGGAAATAAAAACTGAAAACTCCCATCTTATTTTTAGTTTTGTTCATCAAACCCAAATGTTTGCAGTGTACAATAAAAATAAAGAAATTCACTGTTAATTGAAATCATAAATAAATAAAGCATTATTTCATTAGCCTTATGTCACAATTGCAATAACAATATTTGGTCACAAAGGACTTAGGCATATATGCAATGAGGCTAACGATTTGCTTACTAAAACAACCTCAATTTCCAGAGACATAATTAATATGTGAATAGACCAATAAAAAACACTTAAAATGCACCAATTAAATTAAATGAGAACTTTAACTCATGTTTTTTAATTTTAATGACCTTCTTATTTTTTTAGCTTAATTCCAATAATTTCTATATTTTAGTCCATAATTTACATTTGACCAGTTTTATATATGTATATATATATATATATATATATATATATATATATATATATTGTTTTTCATTTCACTTGTGCATGCATTTGTCTCTAAAATGAGTATAATTAATTATTTTTTCAAAAAAATTTCCCATAAGCTTCTCATTTCCTTGTGTTTTACATTTCTCTGTATATTTGTACTTTACTTTTTGCATTTCTGCCTTGTTATGCAAAGAAATTTGGCGGGGCTTCTTGGGTCAGCTCCTTTCCTATTGGTCAACAGACCGGAAGGAGCAGGAACCATGTGCAGATCAATTGTGCATGCCTGTGCTGCCTCAGTTTAGCTTAAAGTTTAGTTTAAAACATATGCACAGTAACTAAACTTTAAGCTAAGCATGCGCAGTAGATCTGCACATGGATCCTTGGTGCATTTTAAATGTATTTATTTATTTTATTGGTCCATTTAGATATTTCTGCCTTTATACCTAATTTTGTCAGTTTCGGTCCTCTGTATCAAAAAGCTAACCAGAGGCCAAATCAAGCCACAGTTTGTGCGGCCATCTGTGTTTATGTGACGGCAGCAGTTCAAACCCCTGACATGTTTAAAATGATCTGTGTGTGGCACTAAGATTCAACCAATTCACATTCTCGTAGCAAAATAAAAGGAACCAGGGAGGTAATTCAGAAATGACATTGACACGTTCAGCTGCTGTCTGATTAATGGCAAGCAGAGCATGTCTGAATGGGTTTTACATAATGAGAGACTCACACTGAACAACAAAGCTCTGCTCGACACTATTTTGTGGCAGCAGCAACAAAACACTAATACAACCTCTCAGATCCGTTTATTTTCCCCTTTTTTTTTTTTTTTGCTGAGACCAAATACTTCCTGGACTGGCTTTACTACACCTGGATATCAAGGTGTTTTTCTCACTACAGTGCGTATCACAGATGAGTGCCTTATATAGTGGGATCTAATACCGGATGGGCTGTGTGATTACCATAACAAATCAATCAATGCTTGTCTGCAAGGGAGAAAATGTGAGCGCCACGCTGGGCATGGCTCCGTGTTCACCGTGCAGTCCGGCGAGACGGTACCGAGAGCTGACATCACAACGCTCGCGGTGATTGATATCCCAATACAAACACACCTCTCAGAGGAACACTTGTGCATTCGTGGCTTCGCTTTATGTATAACCACCGTCCAATCAGCACGAGGCTCCAGGATGAAACGCAGCTCGGAGGAAAATGTCTTTTTGAAAACACATGTAAATCTAACAGGCATCCATCAGTTTACAGCTCCCGGTGCTTTTCTGCCCGAGAGCTCTGGTGATAAACGGTGATTTAGTGGGAGGGGGACCTGGTTTAAAAAAAAAAAAAAAACCAAAAAGTCCACTGAGAGGTGAAACTGGCTCTGATTGCATGTAGTCTGTCAATGAATTGAATTAAACAGTCTGACTCAACACTTCAGTGCCCCCCCAGTGTCCTTCGGGTACCGTTTTCTGTACAAAACATAACTGAACTATAGAACGTGAACCCATTAGTTGTTTCAGGACAATTCTTCATAAAGATTAAATATTTGCTTGCAACAATATTTTTTATTTTATTTTTGCTAGTCCTCAAATGAATTTTGTAAGACAGAGTATTAGGGCCACACAACAAGATTTAATTTTTTTTAATTATGAGATTAAAGTCGTAATATTATGAAAATAAAGTCAAAACTATACGACATCCATTTTCCATTCCCGATTTTTTTCTCATTTCCTCATTTACCTCACTCTTGCTGTGGACAGCCATGTGTGTCTCTGTGTAAGAAGTAGTCCCCGATGACGTTTGGATCACTGTTGATGTGAAATACTTTCATCCAAATTAAGTGACAGCTAAATCTGTCAATGCAGCCATTAATTACAATACAGCTATCATATAGTCATTTGCACAATCGTTTCAAAGTCCTGCTACTGATAATTTGATGCTAATGTGCTAAAAGTTTTATTTTAACTGATGCTAAAGAACAACTTCGAAGTTGCTCAAAATTCCTCATTTTACTGCAGTGGTTTGACTGCTTTCTTGTGTAAAGGTTCTTGTAATATGACTTTATTCTCACTTGACTTTATTCTCATAATGACTTTATTCTTATTATATTATGAATTTGTTCTCATTGTATTGTCTTTTTTTTCCTCATAATATTGAAGAAATTTATAGTTATTACAGATTAGTACTGATGGTAGAAGCACAACACTAGATTATTAGGG